ATTATTATTATTATTATTATACATACAAATAGTTCTGGAAGTTTTAATATCAGTATCAAGATTATAAACTTATTCTTTGAGCATTCTAGGTAGTGTTCCCTCAAACTAGTTTGAAATGAATGTTTTTCTTTTTGTTGTTGTTCTTTAACATATCTAGTCCTTTAAGATAACATAGACTGAGATACAGATCAATTTATGAACTCAAGAATGAAGGGTTTCCCTTAAATAATTAAGATTTTGAGGTGCAAATTAAAATGATTAAAATCATTTGCAGATGTTTTCTTAACTATTTTCAACATGGTAAATTCAGTCTCTTGAGAATCGTAAAAAGGAGGAACTAAAAGCGTCAGAGTTTTGCAGAGGCCAACGTGAAGTTCATTTTGTTTGTTTTCGATCCAAACCTGAATTCATTTCAAAGAAAATCCCTTGAATCCCTCAGATTTGGTTGGACACTGTTGGCTCTCAAACCGACACCTTTCATGTTGAGTTTGTTCAGCTCTAAGAGGAGCTCTGATATGGAAGAAGATAAGATGATGAAACTGTACTAAAAAGTAAGGAAATTGGTGTTTGTTACAATATTTCTTTATTGTAACAAAGCTTCTGAGCAATAAACTGTATATTGGGCACCTTTTGGCAGCACCTGGGGGTCCCAGAAGCTCAAAACAAGTTTCAGTAACAACAGCAAAATAAGTTGTTTGGCAGAGAAGATTTAGGTAATTTTTCAGGTGTGTAACCCAACAAACTCAGCTCTGGTCATCCCACAAATGCATGTTCCTTACAAATGTGGCAACATTTAAAAGGGAAATGAACAGACTTTTCAATATGATTTATTGCCAAACACAAATTTCTTCTCCAGCCATGCAGATTTCAGTTCCACCATTTAAAAATGTGTTCAGTTCAGCCAGCAGACACTGCACTTTGACTTTCCCCTGTGTGGTCCTCTTTTTTTTTCTTTTAAATCTCAGGATGGAGTGTCCAGAGAATAAAATCCTGACTGTGGAGTATGCCTGCGTCAGAACCGGGGGGAAGAACGGCACCTGTTTCAGGTAGGTTGTGCAACTTTTCTCTGGATCGCAGTGAACATTTTATTCACGTTTGTCTCCAGTTTCCCCGGCAGATTACACATTTACAGCTATTCAGTTTACGTTGTTTCCCGGAACAATGATTTGTTTAAGGAAAGGTTTGGCTGAACCAGTGGCTGCTGACGTCTGCTGGGAGAAATGATTCTGTGACTTTCTGAGGTTATGAAAACGTTTGCTGCTGTGTCGTTTCCAGAGGACATCTCTGACTGAAAACTCTTCAGGGAGAAGAAAGCTAATTCTGAACAGCAACATTCCGGTTTTGAATTATGACCATTTCCAGTGTTTGTAAATGTGTCTTAAGTCTGTTTATGCTTTTAAACTTCTCTTTGATAACTTCCCAAAAGGGAAAAAAAGTAAATATTTTGAGCTTTTTGCACATTGTTACTCTCTACATCTTTTACTTTCCATCTGTGCTGGCTTTGTGACAGCAACACAGGAAGTTGTTCAAATATTTTTAGATTTGGTCTGGAGATCGAAGGCRTAAAAGTGAGGGAGTCGGAACCTGAAACACACAAATCTGACTTGAAGATGCTGTTTGTTGTTTTATTTATCTTTATTCATTTGAAAAATCTGTTTAACCCTCCTGCTGGCCTTGGGTCAAACTCCTTCACAAGGCCTCGGTTATAAAAACTGAGGCTTGTGTGATTTTGACCCAAGCCCAGCAGGAGGCTTTAACTATGCTTGTTTCATTCAAAAAAGAGTAAAAATGGTAAAACCAGGAAGTTTACAGGACTGAAGGGTTCTTCTTTTTTTTCTTACATTCAGCCTCCTGGAGTTGATTTTCATAAACTCTTTGACATTTGGTCTCTTTTCTCAAACCTAACGCTTAAAAAGACAAATATATGCAGTTATAATAGCAACATAAGACACGTTGAAAGACTTTCAGCTCTTGATAAATCCAACAAAATGAGGATATATGTTTGCAAGGTTTCTCGTGAAGCCAGACTTTGGCTCACGGATCTTGGCTGATGGATTGAGAAGAACCGGCGGCTCCGGTGCGATGCCAGTCCACGTGATCTGTTTGCTGTCAAGGTCGGACCGTAACGGCTCTGATTCCTGTTGGCGTTCTGGCTCGGTGAGAGGCGTGTGGAGCTGGAGGAGGTGGATTAGATCGGGTTGTGTTTTTCTTTGCCATGTTTCCTTTTTTCTCTCCCCCCTCTGTTCAGCTCAGACCTGGATCAGATAGAATTTGCAGATGACTTTGCAGAAACACCGGATTGATCTGTTGCATGTGAGCATAAATATTACATGCTTATTCGTTTCAGTAGATCCAAAAATGAATAACAAACCAGCTGCCAGTGAGGTTTTTTTGTGTGTATTTGAACAGATTTTGGCCTTTTAAGTTTCTTACATAACTGGATAATGTATTTCTGTGCAGAGCTTCCAGGTATAGTTGAGGCAAATGAAGGATGATTGTATTTTTATTCAGTAAACACTGGAAGTTGGCATAAAAATCCTATGTTTTGTCTTTCCGAAACATTTAGCTTTGATGTGGAAAAACACTTCAAAACAACAAAACTGAATCTTGAATTTGCTCTTGAACAGAACAAGTTTGAAGATTGTGAAAAGAAGCAATAAAAAACTGCAAAAAGACATGAACTGCTCACAGACATCCTGAATTATTTTATCTTATCTGAAAGTGACAGATGAATATTGTTCAATCCAATGAGGCCTGTCATAAAAGAGAAACAATGAGTTCAGCGTTTAATCATGATCGCAGACAGGCCTTGGTCTTGTCAATATAAAACATATAAAACATTCAGCATCACCTATTCAAAGGTTTTGTTGAGTTTATGTAAATATTTTGTTTTGTATGCATAGTTTTGACTCTGTGTGGGTTAGAAATCACCCACAAAAATTTAAACTTAATTCTTTTTTAAAAGATTTATTGAAGTTGTATGTTGTATAATACAGAATAACAAGTAAACCCAACATTCATGGCTACAAGTGATGTTTGATACCACTGAGTTCCTTTCTGAAACTCAGACTGGTATCAGCGACTGATACTGATTGAGTTTGTCCTTTGGCTTTGATTATTCTATGGTCCAAATCAATTTATCATCTTTAATTACTCATTTTTTTTAATGTTTCACTTTTAATTACAAATCCTAAACTAGCAGAATTGAGGAAAAGCGGTGTTCAAAAATGGAATGTCTGAATAGTGTAGCAGGACCCACTTGGATTTCTTCTCCAGTCAGTTTCACAGCAGTCCACRCAGCACAGACAGCTTGAGCTCGTATCAGGAAAGCCCAAACAAAGCACAGCAGCCAAACGTCCCAGGCCGTTCTAAACACAGACTGACTTCTACCCATATCATCATGATTCAGCCTTATAACATCTTCAGTCTCTTCCTGGTTCCACCCCTGAAAGTGGTAACTTTTACGTCAGACGTCAGAACGTAACCAGCTTTTGTTTATACAGACAGAAAGATCACATCGATAACACACACACCAACTCTTTCTCTGCTTTAGCCTTAAGGCTGCAATGATCAGAAAGTAAAAATACAAGAATGCATCCRACATTTAGTTAATCATTTACAAAATTCCCTTCAGAATTATAAGGAAGTTACTTAGTGATGTGTAATATTTCTTTAATTCAAAAGTAATAAAGAACGTTTAATGACGACAGTAATACTTGCTGACATTTTCCTTCAGGCTGAGCACAATCCCACATCATGTTTTATGTGTGTGAACTTCTGTTTTGGGATTTGCAGCAAGGATTGAAAAGAAACTAGATTAGTTCCTGGAGCAACTGAAAGGGTTCGCCTCTTACTGCGGGATATTTTCAGCATAGTTTGGGGGATTCCTCTTGTCTACCACCACATCAAATTTCAACTCAACATGGCTAAAAATGGCTAAGTAACAGTTAATTTTACATTTCAGCTATGGCCGGCCATTGTGGATTTTTGATTCAGTATTTGCTGGTGTCATAGGTTTTTGGTTTGTTTAGGTTTTTGTTCTTGTGGGGTTATTTGTTTATGTTTCTTCTGTCAGCCTTCTCCCCGTCTCATGTGTGTTCTATTCCCCTGTGATTGAGTTTACGCTCCTGCTCCCAGGTGTGTCCTCTCCTAATTAGTCCTGCATATATTTATCCTGTTCGTGTCTGTCCCCGAGTGTTGGTGCGTTCATTTATTGTGGGCCAACTCACCTCTGTGGTCTGGTGCTGGGTCTTCACCCTGTGTTTTTCCCTCGAGTTCCATGTCCTGTGAATACTGTAAGTCAGGTGGTTTTTTGTCAAGTCCTGAGATTTTTGTTAATAAACTTGTTTTTTTTACCCTTTAATCACCGGCTCCCTGGACATGACTCACACCTTTGAGTTTCTGCCCTAAGAGGGAGCCCACACCTGACAGGTGGTGATCGTTCTCAGCTACCACTGCATACAATCCCAGTCCAATACTGTTTGTCTTAAAATGGCAGAGTTATTGCAGTATAAAAATGTCTCTGGCATCCATTTTGAACTTTAATTTAGCATTCAGAATGCGTTGAGTTAGCTCTCAACCCACCAAACCTCAGCTTGAATTACACAAACTCCCTCTTGCTCTCTCTCAGCCAGGAAAGCATTTTGCTGTTGTTTTTTGATAAGTTCATCACCAGGCCACACATCACATGACCGAGCCAGTCGTTTTGATTTAGCATTTGTGAGGGTAGTCTTTGCTGTTCARGTCACATTAAAGTTGAAAGAAGAATTAAAAGGTAGTTAAGAAACCTTACGACATGGATAATTATAGGCACAGTTATTCATTTGAATGCATTGCAAAGCATTTGAAATGGCAAGCCCTATTATTTGCAGTTTTCTGCTTTGAGCTCCTTCAGCACATGAGGAGAGAAATCCAAAACTGGAAAAACCCGACAGGTTTAGTTGTCATTCCTAACCTGTGATTGGACAATGTTTCACTCTGGGTTGGTCGGTGATTTCATTTCTACACACAGCAGCACTGTGTGCAGCCAGTTTCCTCGTGGCTTTACTCCCGCTTTTTTTTTTAATTAAATTTCCTCAGCTGGCACCACACTCTCCTGCTGTAGAGTGGGGTTGCATGATATTTGTGAGGTTTTTTTTATTAAAAAAAGACGCGTTAAGGTTTTGGAAAAGCTCACACTTTCTCAAACAAAGCGGATTGAGTTGCCCTAAAAATGCCGAAACAAATTATAGCAGTGAAATTGTTTGCACTTCAGATGAACTGCTCGACTCAGGCTGTGATGTTTCTGCTCAGCAGCCGTATTTAAAAAAAACTTGTTGGAGGTTTTTCCACTTTCTTAATTATTTACTGCTCAGCACATCTTTTTATTAGATAAATATAGAAACAGCGTTGTAGCACTCTTTGACTATCCTGCTGTTGCTGTGCAGTTGTCCTTGTGGTCTGTCCTCTGTGAGATTTGTCATGGATAAAACTGTCAGATGATATTTATTTATGAGCCTCTGTCTCTGAGGAGGTTTTGTTGCTGTGCAAAAGTAAGATTGTCACTTTTTTCGTCCTTTTCAGTCATGTTTTTGTCTTTTACTTGGATGGAAATCAGCTTGATTTCAACATTTCTGGTTTTGCCTGTTGTGTTAGTTTTCAGACACGAGTATAAATGCATATACAGTTCTTATGCAGGGATGTATATGTGTATTTGTGTGTGAATCTGTGCGACTTGTCTTTGCATTTACTGCAGGTTTGTGATGATGAGAGTTAAATGTCTTCTCCCCCTATCCAAACACTCAGCTGCAGAGTTTGATAAACGTTGGACGGACTCTGCCAGCACGTAAACAGTTCTTTAATTTGACTGACACGTTCCAGTTTAAACCCTCTGTGAGGCTCATTACTGCAACAGAAAACACCCATAACATCGTGTGAGCTCAGGCGGGAGAACAAAATGGTGATAAATGTTACAGAGACATGACTCATCTCATCTGTTCCCTGTCAGATTTTAACTGTTTCCACCTTCAGTGACTCTTCTCTACCAGGAGGCTCAACGCTTCCCTGG